GTGGAAACATTATGCTTTGGGGTGTTTTTCTGCTAAGGGGACAGGGAAACTTCACCGCATCAAAGGGACGATGGACGGGGCCATATACCGTCAAATCTTTGGTTAGAACCTCCTTCCCTCAGCCAGGTCATTGAAAATGGGTCGTGGATGGATATTCCAGCATGACAATGACCCAAAACACAGGGCCAAGGCAACAAAGGAGTGGCTCAAGAAGAAGCACATTAAGGTCCTGGAGTGGCCTAGCCAGTCTCCAGACCTTAATCCTATAGAAAATCTGTGGAGGGAACTGAATGTTCGATTTGCTAAACGTCAGCCTCGAAACCTTAATGACTTAGAGAAGATCGGCAAAGAGGAGTGGGCCAAAATCCCTCCTGAGATGTGTGCAAACCTCGTGGCCAACTATTAGAAACGTCTGGCCTCTGTGATTGCCAACAAGGGTTTTGCCACCAAGTACTAAGTCATGTTTTGCAGAGGGGTCAAATACTTATTTCCCTCATTAAAATGCAAATCAATTTATAACATATTTGACATGCGTTTTTCTGGATCTTTTTGTTGTTATTCTGTCTCTCACTGTTCAAATAAACCTACCATTAAAATTATAGACTGATCATTTCTTTGTCAGTGGGCAAACCTACTAAATCAGCAGGGGATCAAATACTTTTTTCCCTCACTGTACACACATGCTCAATGAATTACAAATATACAGGGTGGCCCAAACTTAAGGGCATTGAGTGATTTTCTTTATTTTAACATTGGCCTTAAAACTTTGTAATTGTTTAATATTGAAGTAAATAATTTATCTATTATCGTTATTTATATATATTTTTCTTATTCCTTTTCAGATAACATTAAAAAATGTGATTTTTAGTTTTTTACTAAAGAAGAATGAGTCAAATTATTTCGTTTACGAATATGAAAAAAAGACAGCTTTTTTGAAACAAAAAAGTCCTAAATTCATTTCAAAAGGGAGTTCATGCATAAAGTAATATTAACGGAAGTCAGTTTGAATATTTTTAAAATAAATTAAATCATCCCATGTGAATTGTTGAAATAAATATAATTACCCAGTGCCTCCTGACTTTCGGGCCACAGTATATTTATGCACTAAAGCATATTGTGACTGATATTGTAAGCTAACAAATAAGTATTAACAGGAAAACTTTCACGAAAAGTAGGTTCTGCATGGGTAAAAGTGCAGTGCAATGTGTTGCTCACACCACTACTAGCAGAAATGGCCTCCACTAGGTGGCGCTCAATGGGGCCACGAGATAATGCACTTGCCTACTCCTTCAGGCTGCCCAGACATCTTCGACGCATGTCTGTGCACTTAATCACATCAATCCCCCAGACCTACACTGTGCTCCTCCATCAGCTCAACTGTCCGGCCACCAGACTTCTGTACCTACCACCCTTCACCTACCCTCACCCATGCCCATTTCAACACTTCACGCATGTGCCCCATACCCTACTGCCTCTCATCCACGTTGCACCCATCAGACACCCTCTCTCACCATCACATTCCACCTTATTCTGCCTTACCTACCCCAGCAACATCATCTCCATTCCCAGCCCCTGTCCCTCCATCAATTCCATCACCTTCCTCACTGACCGCCATCGGCTTGCTTTATGAAGCGCCCTGAAAAGGACACTATATAAATCCGAAATATAATAGAATTGGGAATAACCACGCTTACACTCCATGACACATAGCCTGCCGATTGACAGGCAGCAGTTATCTTTTAAGAAATTCGTCCATTGCCTCGACTGCCGCACCAGGAGATTGAAAATCGGTATCGCAAGTCGAGTGCGCTAACCATTACACCAAGGCAGCATCACGTGATTGGTTTTAATTCAAATGAATATCCATTTTACTTAGCCAGTAAAGAAAACCATTCATATTTTTTTTATCTTTGTCTTTGTGGATAATGTAATAGGGTATTTAATGGACATTGCAAAGGGGCATGCTACTTGGGAATAACTTGCAAAGGATTCTGATTGAACCATTTCCTCTGAAAACCTCAGTGGCCGGTGTGCTAAGCACAACAATAACCAACCAGAAAAAAATCAATAAAGTCCAATTGAAATGCATTAATTTTATCCCAAGCATGACGATTCAATGTTGCATCTGTTGTCTAATGCAGAGGAAGGGTGGCAATAAAGAGCAAGAACAATACATCATGTTACAAAAATGGAGGCTGTTTCAGGATTATCAATGTAATTGCCATTCAGTTTACAAGTAACACATCTGGGTGTCTCGAAAACCTGTGGCTTTTGATGAACAAAAGCTCAGTTGGTGCACACACCATGAAGAAATTGACTTTGCTGCCCACAAAGTGGTTTCCTCATCTGATTTATAGAGCAGCATTACATTATGCAAATAATTAACTGGCGTGTTATTAACCCTAATGATGTAATATAATGCTGCATTCATTGCTTGCTTTACAGGGATCAACAGTAAAATGATACCATTTATATATTTATTTCCTTCTGGCAGAATGTTTCTGGCACAATGTTTACCAAGGTCCCAGTGCCTGACACCATAACAATAATTGAAAACTTGGTCCAACATGGACTGAACCCTGATGTACCTGCACTGGTTAGGCACTGCCTCACCAACACTTACTTTACCTGGAATGGTACCTTCTACAAATAAAATGAGGGTACCCCTATGGGCTCCCCCTTGTCACCAGTGATAGAAAATGTTTTCATGGAGAAATTTGAATCACACGCCATCCAGAAATCCACCCTTCGCCCTTCCCTATGGAAGAGATATGTGGATGACACTTTCGTTATTTGGCCACATGGCCTCCCAGCATTAAACCATTTCCTAGACCACATTAATTCCAAACACCCATCCATCAAATTCACCATGGAAGTGGAGAAAGATCGCAAGCTGCCATTCTTGGATGTTCTGTTTGAGAGGAGGACTGATGGCTCTTTGGGACATTCTTTTTACAGGAAGTCCACCCACACAGACTTCTACTTGAAGCCTGATTCCCACCACCACCCGACTCAAAATAACTCTCTCATCAAAACATTATACCATAGGGCTCATTGCATTTCTGACCAACACCACCTGGCCAGTGAATTAAAACATGTACATCTGGCCCTCAAGATGAAGGGATATTCTGACCGTACCATCTGCCAAACTGTTTCTCCCACCATACAGAAACAACCACCTGATACTACGATCAAAATCATCACGTTACCATACATAGCAGGCGTTACTAAAATATTTCCAAAATTCTAAACAAACACAAGATACAGGTCCGGTTCAATACAGTACACAAGATCCGTGATCTAATCCCATCCGTAAAGGATGTCATTCCTGACTTACAGTACCCCGGTGTTTACAAATTGAGTTGTACCTGCGGTAACTGCTATATTGGGGAGACGAAACGACGTATTTATGACCGAATCCGCGAGCAAAAATTAGGTTTGAAACACGGCAGAACGAATTCTTCAGCCGTGGCTGATCATTGTTTCAACACAGCGGGTTCTCATGACATTGTTTTCTGTGATACCAAAGTTCTCTGCAAACCTCCCGGTTATTACCAAAGATTTGTCCATGAAGCCATACAGATATACAAACATAGGCACAACTTCAACCGAGAGGATGGTTTCAAATTGATCAACCATTGGAAAGATGTTATAAATCAAGTCAAACGTTAGCTGCCTTTTAATTGTACAGCCATTTCCATTGCTTTCTAACAAAAAAATAGTGCTGTACTTGCTTTCGTGCAGCGCGCCATCGCTCCCCCCGAACCCCCTGCAGCATACCAAAATGAGGTCTTACCCGCTTTTTGCGCAGTGCACCACCCCTGCCCCCGAACCCCCTGCAGTTTAACAAAAGGCGGCTTAACTCAGCCCTCCCCCCCACCCAAGTCCCTTTTTGGCTCCCCCCCCCCCCTTAACCTGTATATAATCCCGGCTGTCTCAGAGCTGTCCACTTGACACAGATATTATGCTGTGACTATTCCACCTGAAGACGGAAGCTTGTGTTACCTCCGAAATGTTGTGATTTAATTGAGTTGTTTTATTTTATTTTACCTAAGTGACTTTATCGAAAAAAACAAAGAGTATGAAGCCTTGCAGTCATGAAAGCTTCAAATCTAGAATGAAAGAATGTCATGAGGTTTCGTTATATTCCTGGGAATGTATTATTTTGGCCACACAAGCTTCCCTCCATTCACATGTCCATCTCTGTACCATGTTACTGTGCAGCACTCAGCATTTGTCCTCAAAGTGCATATTTATTGTTTAGTATATGAATGGAGGTGGAATAGTGGTGCAGTGATTAGTGCACTCCACCATGAACCTGGCGACCTGAATTCGATTCCAGACCACGGCTAACATCAGTGGCGAGTAAGTTTTGAACTGGTCCTGGCTTCCCATCCACACATGCCCCCACCACCAATCACTTACCAGCACTGACCAGGATGGCGAGATATGATCACCCCATTGAACTGCATGGTGTGCATGGGGCATTATCTAGCAGTGGATAGTCAAATGGCATAAATCCATTATACATTTGTATCAATATTTTTATTGAAATGGATCACAGAAAGTAGTCATGTATGTACTTATGTGTCCCTTATAATTATAATTAGAGACATGGAAAAAATCCACGCGGCTACGGGGATAACATGAGCACTCCAAATATACAGGTGCTCGGGTCGAAATAGAATCCACAACCGCCTGCATACCACGCGAGAGAGTTAATATCTCGCCAAAGTGAAGCTCCATGGAAGGAAACGGTCACATGCCTAGATGGCCCAGAAAGCCCAAGGGACAAGAAGAGGAGGAAGCGAGGGGGAGGGGGTTTACTCTCCAACACACGGGTGTGCTGAAGTAGTAACTGGCACGTTTTGTTTACGTGACAAACCTTACTCATTGGCTGTCAGGTAGTGGCGGGTTTTGACACATTTATATTTATGCGATCTAACCACAAAACAAACCTTTATTATGGATCATTTGGCCTCAATGGTCATCTAGCTGACCTCATGCTGAGCAGAATGTCGCCGTTGCGCGAGATGAAGAGCAGGATGTTCTCCTGCGTCACGTCGTGGAAGTTGGCCATCTTCTCGTTCGCGAAGAAGAGGTCGGGTTTCCAGAGGCACTTGAAGAGCTTGGGGTCCACGGTGAGCATGTCTGAGCCATGGTAGTCCTGCGGCAGCCGCAGGCGTGGGTCGTTCCACTTCTGTCTCAGGAAGATATTCACGCGGTAGTCCTGTCGGAACACAGAGCAGTATGTCCAGGGAGTTTTACCGAAGCGTAGAGGTGAACCCTGTAGCGGCTCGCGCACACTGCTGCTGGTCCTTACCTAGACGGAGCACTGGAGAGGCCCTTTAGAGGGTATTTTTACTTCTATTAACTCTTTTTTATTTTACTGCGTAAGGCCCACTGAGCTGCGAAAATCTTTTTCAGATGCTATCTGGCCACAACTGATCGCTCAGCGAAGTGGCTTATCGCGTGGAAATGTATAGCAACCAAATACTCTGAGCGAATGTTGATTCAAAATGTGGAGGGAAAAACCGGAGGGCCCGGCAAAAATTCCACTCGGCCATGGGGAGAAAAATATGCCAACTCCAAATTATGCAGGCGTCAGGGTTGGAATTGAACCTAAGACCTTCTGTATACCAGGTGAGGGAGTTAACATCTTGCCACCGGGGTAGCGCAGTGCACACCACTGTGTTATTGAAATAGGTTACAGATTCTGTCATGTGGAGAGGTGTATGACCAGGAGCACCCACAAAATTTGATCCCACCCCACGCTACCTGCCGATCAACTAACTGTGTTGAACCTATGTGAGAAGCATCGGTGGAAAATACCTAAACTAATTTTCTGAGCTCAACTGTTAAGCATTGTTGGGTGATAAAGGAGTCGATTGTTAAGTTATTGTAAAATGTAGCACACAGGCTTAATGTGTTGCTTTGGTTTGATGTGCCCGTGAGAGATTATTGGCTTTGTATGGTTCCTTTGGATAGTGCACAGCTCTTCATTGAATGAGTTGTGTCATTTTTATAAGGAAAAAAAGCTGTCTGGCTAAAACTGCTCTTGATGTTGAGGGGACTTAATATCATCTCAAAGTGGAAATTTTTCACCATATGTAAGTGTTGCAGAGTGGACAGAATTATTCTGTCTGCAAGTTGCGATACATCGATTACCTTTTTGGGAACAGCACTAACCATAGAATATGCCTCATAATTTACTTTTATGCCACGTGTCCATGACATACTTGGCAACATCTATAACTTCTATCAATAGCACAGTGGCATGCACTGTGCTACCAACAGTGTGACCTGAGTTTGGTTCCCATCCAAGGCTCACATCAGTGGTGAATAATATCTGCACTGGTTCTGGGATTTTCCCTTCATAATTCCGCATTGATTGGCTAGGTGAAGTATGGTTAAACATCCTCTATGGGCAGTAAAGCGTTGAGTACGCCTTCATCCAGCAGTAGATTGATAGAAAGGTTGAATGTAATATATATATTCGTTGATGATGTATTTGTCTATACCGTATTTCTGACAATATTCTACATGCAGGTATAAATGAAAAATAATATATTTTTAAAACACCATATTTGATCCACGAGCAGTATGGTTCATGTTAAGGGTTATTAAATCAACCAACCTGGGTTTAACCTCACAGAGCCAAACAAAATTCAGCAATACAGGTGTTGAAAAAAAGTACATGGGTTACAGGACCTCCCGAGAGTGGGATAAGAGAAGAAAAAGATGCATACAATTTTATCAGAAATCCATTCCCATTTCTTTGGCTCATCAGATTCCCACTTTAATCTGAAAATAATTAATTCCACTGCTTTACAACTATACTGCAATGTGATTACAGTGCCTTTATACACATTCGTAATTGATAACAAATGAAGCTGGTACATGAATGTAAAAGAGTGGGCTGTAGTGATACCGAGGGATTTGGACAGGAACATTGCATTGGGAGAAATGTGACCAGTGGTTTTCAATATCAAATAGAGAAAAATAAACAATAAAAACCCATTTCAAACCTTCAGTCCATTACCAAGGAAGCAGAACAAGTTTCTTCAGCAAATAAAGTTTTAAAAGTACTGCCGTTCTATATTACATTTACAGGGTGACTCTGTCTTAACACAGCACATGTAATGACTGCATGGAAACTGTTAACAAGGAAGTAGATCCTCTTAGCACCATATCGCGGGCATGGGAGTAGCGGGGCAATGAACGCGGTGATCCGAGTTCAAGTCTCAGGCATTGCTAACTTCAGGCGTGAGTGAATGCTGAACTGGTCCTGGGCACCTCCCTTCACTGACCCACGCTAACTAGGCTGGTGAAGTATGGTCAAACAACTTCCACGAGCGACATGATGTGGAGAGGCCTTTACGCAGAAAAAGATTGACAAAGCTGGAATATTCGATTACGTTGTGTAAAATGTTTATAACAATGTAAATACCTGCAAATTGTGCTGGAGAGTTAAGTTGAAACTTCAGAGCACAGTAACATAGAAGTTCAAGTTATTGCTTAACTTAATCGCAAATAGAATATGTGGATTTGACATGGTTTTACTCTGAATTGTAGAATCAGGTGAAAAGTTAGACGCATTGCATGTGGACATGGCGGTGGCGTTGGTCAAAATCAAGTGATTCTGGTGTAATTGGCTGGTTCAGAAAACGGATATAGTGCTAGAAAATGAGCCAGCCTGGGCCAGACTAGAAGCAAATTCCCCCATGATTGTTTAAGGATCGTGAGTTGATTGTCTCAGCCTGATCACCAATGAGTCTTACAAAAAAACATCACATTATATTTTACTTAGTCACTCATTTGGGCACGTTCCAATTCTGAAGACTTCAACTGTTGGTGTTATGGTCATATGACCAACACTATGAGTGGGAGATATGAAATGCGCCCCAAGTAATGTGCATCAGAGGTCTATTGAAGTGAATCATAAGCAGTTTTGTGTCACCTTCCACACCCATTCTGGTGACACAAAGTGATGCCCTGCTTGCTTCAGCATTTACTTCTTTGTCTCATGACATGATGCAGATAGTGAACTTTGGATGTAATTTGGCCAAACCAGTTATTGTTTTCAAGTCTGTCCATAAATGTACTCCGAAAATAAGTCTGCTCCAGCCACCTTGCTTTTTATTTAACGACGATATAGTAGGGAATGTGTTGTTGTTTTTCGTCCTGTTTTATTCCAACTGTGCCAACAGCATTATTGCGTGAGAGAAAGCAACCATTTGGATCTCGTGCAGAGCAGCACATAACCCCCGTGCATTGGAGAATTCCTCGACGTAAATAATTGCCGTGTCTTGTGCTGTGCCTACATTACGTGGCACTTTGGTGCCTGCTGAGTTCAGTGGATGGTTGTACAACCGGGCCACAAAGTATTAGTGGCACTAAATAAATAAAGTAAAATTCCCAATTAAAATATCCCAGCACCTGCAGAATATGATGGGCACACTCTCCATGGCATACTCTGAGTGCAGTGCCCTCACGAGATAATTATTTCTGCTGCTGGATTATTTTATTCCTGCATTCTTGGGGTGCCACGGTGGTGGAATGTTAACTACCTCGCTTGGTATATAGGAGGTTGTGGGTGCCATCCAGACCCTGTAACCTGTATACTTGGGAGTTTGCATGCTCTCCCCGTGATCCCGTAGGTTTTTCTCCAGGTTCTCTGGGTTTTCTCTCCACATTTATAAACATGCGTTTAGACTATTGGCTGCTATCCATTTCCACCTGATAAGTCACTTCATTCAGGTAAAGTACCATTTGTGGGCAAGTTTCTTAAAAAAAAGTGCTACATATCTCAGTGGGTCTTACCTGGTACATTTTTTATAGGGTGGGTTGTAAAACGAATAAGATGTCCTCCAATAACCGCTGTGTGCTGTGTGACCACACGTATTCTATATGCTGATATGGTATGGCACGGAGATTGACAATGCTTTACCGACCCGGTGTTAATATCGAGAGACGATTGCCAGCTGCCCTATCGGTATTAAACCCTCTGTTTACGATGGTAGTGCTAAGGGAAATTGGCATGGAGTCAGTAATTGATTGCCAACAAATTCTCCAATTTGGCTAAGCAAAGTGATAATATTTAGCATGCAACTTTTGAAAGTAATTATCTATAGTCTAATGCAGATGTCGGCTACCAAAATAACAAGAAGAGACATTTGTTCTTCAAATTTCGTAAAAAAAATGTAATCAACGTATCAAGAGCCGCAATGCATGTAAACACGAGAGAGTCCTTCATGAAAATAACGTCACGCAGCAGTGCTAAGTAGCTGCTTGCGGCTCGGAGCCGCAGGCTGCTGACATCTGGTCTAATGGATGATTTGGCTAGCATTTAAAAAAAATGATAATGCACAACCATTTTGCCATCCATTGCTGGATGAAGGTCTTCTCTAGCCACGTGCGTAATGGGGGGGTTGTTTGACCATACTTCACCATAGCTGTCAGTGTAGGTTAATGAAGGGGGAAAGGTCCAGGACTGGCTCAGATATCACTCGCCATTAATTTTGCCCATGGCCTGCAATAGAATTTAGGTGCCCAGGTTTACAGCACTATGTGAAAGCACTAAGGACATCGCTAACCCATTTTACCATTATCCTTAAGATTGTATTAAAATGCACAACATGCACCACTTACTAGCACATGAACTATGTGACATTCCTTGAATTTTCAACCGATAACCATAACACAGAGAACAATTCAAATTAAATTATGTTGGTTTCACCATGTAAACCCCAAGCTGATTACTTATACAGCAAGGGAATACGTATGAGGTATAGTTATCTTGCAAACGTTTATTTATTTACAAAAACAATTACGTGAGGTAATTGAAAAGTTTGAAATTTGGGCTATGATATGTCACTCAAGGTAATCACAGGGTAAAGTGTTTGTTCACTTCAAAGTGGAATGTCATCATTGGTACATCATTCCCTTGTTATTCACGAACTTGCTATCCACGATATTGGATATCCACGAACTGCATCTGGAACTATGCACGACTGCATTGAGAGAGATAAAAAGGAAATTATGACATACAGTGACGAGAGATAATGCGATGCGATAAAGTGATGAGATGAAGTGATAAGAAAAAGTGATGAGAGATACAAAGATAAGATACAGTGATAAGGGAGAATGTGATGCGAGAAAGGGATGATATAAAGTGATGAGATGAAGTTATGAGATTAAGTTATGAGACAAAGAGATGCGAGAGATAAC